TGTATTTTAGGGTTCCGGTACTTATTTTTTAAGCAAATTCAATATTATGTTAGATAGGTAAAATACAGTTTAACGGTAAACACTAAATTGTAGCAGTAATCAATACGGTTGTTGTTTTAAATGGTTACTTAGCAATTAAATATATATAGATTTAAATGTGTGCAATGTAATGGTGATGTGTGTGTGTGTGTGTGTGTGTGTGTGTGTTGGTATGGCGTATTTAGTGCCCTCCACAATAGAGATACAAGCCGGCACTCTTACCTCCGAAGACGTTGTTACCTCCGAAAACCCGGAGGTCACAAAGATTTCAATGGATTTCATCATAATTGACTGTTTCTATCAATTTCCTGCGATAAAAAGTATGGAGTCAAAAAGTGCCTTTATACTCACATGACGTGTATTGGGATGTGTAATAATAGTACCAATAACTGAATGTAGGCGGCGCATGCATTTTAGATTTACACGCGTTTATGAAGATTTATAGTTTAAGCGCTACTATGTCGTCTTAGTAATCTAAATTATACATAATATAAACCACCATGATACACTTATTTTTGGCGAAGCGCTAATGCCACCTCCTAATGACTAATAGAAAAAATAACTTATCAATTTATAATATACTAATAATTATTATAAAAGGTTTTACAACTTGTAAATTAAATGTAACACTTTTTATCGTTATACACTACTCAGCAGTCAGCCTTACAATTTCTGCAGTAGTCTTGACGTAAAATAAAAATCAAGGTAGTGAACGTAATTATTTTCAAAATTGAAAGACGCCTAAGTCTTATTGCATCATTGTACTTAACTCGTTGAAATATTTAGATTTCCGAAAAAAAACTCGTGTGCGATAGGGATCAGTATTTATTACCAAATAATATTATCTTAGTTGCAGTAACCATAGGGGATTTGGGTTATTATTTGTTGTTTCTATAAAATATACTATATCAGTAGGTACAATAGTACCTAAAAATATTTATATTTATATAATTAAATAAGTAGGTACATAAAATATATTATGGTTCACCTGATGGGAGGGATACGACACCCAAATCCCCCCCTCATCCGTCATTACACCACTGACCGGAGGTTACAAATATTTTGCTAGTGTGTAACTAGGTATCATCTGGAGTCTATGAAAACTTAATATGTAATCTGGAGTCCACAACAACTTTATGATTTACACACATTATTTAGTATAATTAAACAAAAAAATCTTTTTTGAGAAAATGTGTTATTTTTTCACTGGAAGCCATAAGAATAGTTTTACAATAGATAACTATATTGTGGAGTCCATAAGTAATATAAGTATCACACACTCTTTTTTCAATCCTCCTGTCTGGGGAACATATTATTAATTATAACTTATAAAAAATCGATGACCGGAGGTCACAAATATTATGTTCATGTGTAACTATTATCTGGAGTCCATGAAAACTTTATTTGTAATCTGGAGTCCACAACAACTTCATGATTTACACACATTAATATAGTTTAATTAAACGTTAAAATCTATTTTGGGAAAATTTATTATTTTTTTACTGGAAGCCACTAGTATAGTGTGTTTGTATTGCGTATCTTATGACATCCCCAATCGAGATACAAGCCGGTATTATGACTTCCGATAGTGTCACAGTGACCTCCGGAGATCACAAGAACTTGATGCGATTTTCGTAATCTTGTAATTGTAATTTTAGACCGGAGTCCATAAGGTACAATTAAATCAATGTGTGTAAATGTCGTAAAGATAACATAAAACAGACGTGTCTATGTGATATATGACTAGGATGAGAAATTTTGCACCTTTATGACTTCCTAATTTACACACCTTACACCTACGTATAATGTTATGAATTGATTTTAAAATAATTTTAATTTAAGATCGGAGTTCATAAGGCACAATTAAATCAATGTGTGTAAATGTTGCAAAAAATCATCTAACCAACGAGTCTGTGTGATATCTGACTAGTACCAGAAAGTTTACACCTTTAGGACTTCCTAATTTACACACCTTACACCTACGAATAATGTTATGAATTGATTTTAAAATATTTATATTTTAAGCCCGGAGTTCATAAGGCACAATTAAACCAATGTGTGTAAATGTCGTAAAGATAACATAAAACAGGCGTGTCTATGTGATATATGACTAGGATGAGGAATTTTGCACCTTTAAGACTTCCTTCTTTATACACCTACGTAAAATGTTATGAATTGATTTTAAAATAATTGTAATTTAAGATCGGAGTTCATAAGGTAAAATCAAATCAATGTGTGTAAATATTGCAAAAAAATCATCTAACCAACGAGTCTGTGTGATATCTGACTAGGATGAGGAATTTTGCACCTTTATGACTTCCTTCTTTACACAAATACGTACAATGTTATGAATTAATTTTAAAATAATTGTAATTTAAGATCGGAGTTCATAAGGTACAATTAAATCAATGTGCGTAAATATTGCAAAAAAATCATCTAACTAACGAGTCTGTGTGATATCTGACTAGGATGAGGAATTTTCCACCTTTATGACTTCCTTCTTTACACACCTACGTATAATGTTATGAATTGATTTTAAAATAGTTATATTTTAAGCCCGGAGTTCATAAGGCAGAATCAAATCAATGTGTGTAAATATTGCAAACAAATCATCTAACCAACGAGTCTGTGTGATATCTGACTAGTACAAGAAAGCTTACACCTTTATGACTTCCTAATTTACACACCTTACACCTACGAATAATGTTATGAATTGATTTTAAAATATTTATATTTTAAGCCCGGAGTTCATAAGGCACAATTAAACCAATGTGTGTAAACTTAATTTTGAAATGTAATTTTCCTAATTGTCTACTTTCAGCGCTGAGTTTAAATAATATTTGAATATAATATAATTAATGAGGTTATCGTTTTATAGTAAAAACTAATTTGATGCACTTGTGAACTCCGAAGCCACAAGGGATAAGTGTAAATTGTCTGGAGTCCACGAGTTCTCGGAAGTAACAAATGTTATAAAATACTCGTACAAAAATTATTAAATAGTTAATCTTTCAATTAAATTTCATTATAACGAATTATTTCTAAGTATTTTGGTATTAGAAACACTTGTCTAAAACTACTTGTAAAGGTGGAATGAACAAGCGCCTTAAAATTCTTATGGAGTCCATTGAATACCTCATACCTGTATATGTGTGTGTGTGTGTGTGTGTGTGTGTGTGTGTGTGTGTGTGTGTGTGTGTGTGTGTGTGTGTGTGTGTGTGTGTGTGAGGAGGGGGGGGCAAGCAATCTAAAATCAAGTGAATCGCAATCGTGGTTCTGAAATTATGTGCATAGGTAATCTCGAGGATGTACACTTTGAAGTCAATATTTTAATTTTGCATTTTATTGTTTGTGTAGGGTTGCCAATGGTTACATAAAATAAAATATTTATTATAATTGTATATAATTATTTAGACCTGTATTTTATTTATATTCAGTTAAAATCACCCAAATAACTGGGTTCAAAATATGTGTAGTTCTCGTTTAAAGGAGTGTAGGACAAGGTAACTCCATTGGAATTATTCAATTTGTCACGGGCTAATGCCATGTCGTGCTGGATCAGTTTCAACTTTAATTAATAAATATAATATATTATCTAGGTACTATATAAAATCGAAAAACTGGAACAGGTTACCCCTATCCAAATCCACAGTTTTTGTCTGGTTTTCATAAAATGTTCGTCAATAGATCCAGCATGTCCTTAGTGTCATAGGCTACTCTTTATTACTTACTTATTACTTTTCAACACTTAAATATAATTTGTATAGCTGAATCACGGAAAACAGTCATTATTTTATTTATATATTTTTGCCATTGGTTACTGAAAATAATATTATAGTCATTATGATTGGCTATAATTTTAGACCTTGGTTTTAAATTTGGTCAAAACAACCCGAATAACTCTTTAAAAAATATGTGCGGTTTACATTTAGCGAAGTTTAAGAAAGTGTAAATCAGCGGGCATTTAATTTGTCATGGGTAACGCAGTGCAGGATCAGCTAGTCAATTTATAAAATTAATAATAGGTAGGTTATTTATAGTGAACATATGCTATGAATATTATAATAACAAAAATCAAAATATTGTAAGCGGTAAATAAGTTGGTCCGCTTAGCTAATTGTATACAAATATTGACTACAAACTTCGAATTATAACGGTCTATTCTTAGTCTAGATGTGTTCATAGTTACGTGGTAATTGATAGTATACCATGGTACCCACATAATAATATATTATAGTATTTTATAAGGTGAGGTATACTTGAAGTGCGGTCGAAAGAGGTGTAAACGTAATTAGTAACTGATAAAAAAAAAAAAAACCATTTCAAGGTAGGTAGTAAAAAGTAAAATAAAAAGTCGAAACTGCCTACATTTTAATAAAACTGCGTATTGTATAATACAATTATTAATACAATTTTACTTAGTGTTTTATAAGTATAGTATGTCATATACGTACTGTAATGTATTTTAACAGACCTTAGGCGGCACTTAAAATGTACCGGAAAAGCGGACTTACAAACAAAATGTTGTTATTGAAATGCATTAACAAATTATTAAATTTACCTATTTTAGTCGTAGTGTTACGCCGAGACAATTTGACCGCACAAATGCAGTGTGGGTACCTCTCTATAATCCATCATTTTTGTACTTTCAAAGTTTCAACTGCCGATATTATAACTTAATATTATCATTCAAATTATAAGTTTGTAAGATACAACACCGTTGTAATTCTGGAGCATCGATGTACGTTTACAGAGTTTTTACATTCAGTTTGTTAAACTTTTTCCTCGTAGCTTAATGGAATTTCTTCAGTCGATACAGTCAATATTATATACGCAGTTCCTAACCTACTATTCTCACTTGAAAATAAAATAAAAAAAACCGTGGGACCTAATAATAATATATTATATAGTTTGTAAAGTATTCAAATGGCCTTATTTAATCAATTTGTTGTTCCTTTCAGACGACTCAATGGAGAATTTTATTAAAGAAGTTTTATCTGCTAGCAACAGAGGCGTATCTGCAGCTAAAAATGTTTCGGGAGAACCAAACTGGAGTTTTGGCCAATCTTTATTTTTCGCTTGCACCGTAATAACGACTATAGGTGAGTATATAATAGAATATCGATAACTCTGAGAAAAATGAATCTCTTTTCAAAACGTTTTTTCCGTCAAACCACATTTTGTTACTCGTTATCTGACATTTAAGTTCAGAAAATAAGAATTGTGATTGGCAGTTGTGTTTTACTTTGATCTTATAATCCATTCATTACATTGATATCACATAATATTGGTTATATTTTATTATTAAACTCATTATTTCAAAAACGATTGAAGCTATTGAAAATATTATTTATTATATCTTAAAGTCAATAACATACAACATATTTGGAAAAAATATTTTTACTCTTTTTTTGTTATCATTTTTTAAGATATTTTTGTATGACATCTTACATTTTTAATTATTACAATATATATTGCATAGGTATGCAAAATATTTTTTACTACATTATGATACATACAAATCAAATTTCTAATGAGTTGTTAATTTGTCATACATTTATAACTTCTGAATGTTTAAAATTTAGATTTACATATAGTGGTGTGGCCAAAGCTGATTTCCGCCGAATTATTTGTTTACTAATAATTCTATTCATCTAAAGTTTAAATACTTATCCTAAAACAACTAATTAAGTACTCATTTAAAATTTAATATTTTACAGTTTGTTCCGGAATATGAAATTAAAATAAATGTTTTAAATCAAAAATGTATAACACATAGTAAATAGAAAAAACAAAATATTATTCATTTTTAAAAAAATTGTTTTGCAATGATTGAAAATTATGTAAAAATATATTCAAGAAGCGTTACAGTTTTTAAATTAATAAAGAGGGTTTCACATTAAAATAATAACCAAAAAAATGTATAATATATCATAATACATTTATGTTAGTTTTGTTTGATAATGTAATTTGTATTAATATATTTTACAGAGTAGTTACCTTCCTATATCAGAAATAACTAACAAATATAAAGTGTAATTATAACTTAAATCGGTACATATATATGTTATAAATTGTGTTCTTATATCATTATAATTTTTTTTTATACATAATTTAATAGGTACCTATAATATGAGATTCATAACAATTAAATTAAAAAAAAACTTATCAGAATATAAGTAAGTTTATGTCTGGAGGCCGGAATTATAAATTATGCATTTGCATAATATTCAAACTGAGTGTATGCACGACTACGAGAGTTTGAATTGTGGGCGTTTCAAATCAAACTGATTTCATAGAAGATGGCATATTTTATTAGTTAAGGCATAATTTGTTATTCGAGCAAATAATTTGCATATTTTGCTCACGCTTGATAAATAAACGAACTCTCTGTTTACTATTATAAAGACATGAATTAAAATGTCGATCAACAATTAATTTTAAATTACCACGGAAAAGTGTTTGGCAATCGAAAAATATTTTTCTATCGCTTTTGTTGGTTTCAGAGAAAATAAATATTATCAATTAATTGTCAGGCTATTATAAAATTTGGATGGAAAAAAAAATAAAAAATAAATGATTATGCATGGCTTCTACCGTGATTTCTATGATCTTCAATGATTTCATTGGTCATACCCGGCTTACTTCTTTTGATATAAATGTTTATTCATTTCTTACACATTTTTTAATTCCCATAGTGCATGATATTTCGAAAGTTTTCGTGTGCATGTCGTTGCATATTTTGTAATTTTTACAACTCTGCAGATTTGCATCATACATTTAGAAAATTGTCAGCACCTAATATAATTCCGGTCTAGACTCAATCACTACAGTTTACAGAATAATCAATTACTCGTGTCAGTTGTTTCTCGTTATATTTATTTTCTAATACCTCTATACGATATAAATTTAATGTAGGCATAGGCCATTATCTGCTTGAATAATAATAAAAAAAAAAAAATAGTCACGTAATAATATTAAAATGAAAATCTGCTGAAAATCTTTTATATCTTTCAGGTTACGGTCACGTCACTCCGCTGTCGCAAGAAGGCAAGTTGTTCTGCATGCTCTACGCACTTTTCGGCATACCCTTGACACTGGTTCTGTTGACTGCACTGGTCGATCGGTTGATGATACCCACGACCAAGTACCTGCACTTCCTCAACAGCCGTCTCGGACATCTATATCCGCCGTTCACCATCCGGTTGTTGCATTTCGGCACTATACTGGGCACGTTGATATTTCTGTTTCTATTGCTGCCCGCGGCGATGTTCACGCACTTGGAACCCGAGTGGAACTACATGGATTCACTGTACTACTGTTTTATATCGCTCACGACCATCGGTCTCGGAGACTACATTCCGGGAGACGCTCCGGACCAGAAGTACAGACCTCTCTACAAGCTGATGATAACCGGTAACAATGTCGTAAAAAAAATTTATCACGAAATGTATCCTATTGTTGTATACACCGTACAGTTGATTACATTTCTATATCCGTTTACAATAATATAGGCTACCTGGTCGTGGGACTTGTGTGTGTGATGTTAACGCTGTCTATTTACTACGACATCCGGCAATTAAACTTCGGCGTGCTTTTCATGTTGGAAAACGACGAAACCCGTTCGATCGATCCGGAAAAAATGCATTTACAAGAACCTGGGACAAACAGGACCAAGTACACAAATGAAAAAGATTCACCCACAAGCTTGGAGGACACCACTCCGATACACAGCATTCCTTAAAATTAGGTACCTATATTATATTATATACCTGCCAATAAAATAAACCACTACAGTAAATTAGTTGTTGAAAGTTATAATAATAATATGACGTGCACATGTAATCTTTGTTTTCTGTTTTTAAGGTTGAAATAATAATTATAACCAATGATTTCTGCTGTATACAGTGATGACAGTTACCTATATTCGACCAAAACCAAAATCTCTATCCAAAAACTAATTATTATAATAATTATTAATTATATTATATTAATATATTATTATTGTTATTACCTTTAGATTATAAATGAATAGATTATAAAAGATATATTGTTACTTATATTATTGATTTTACTGAATGAAACAATTATTAATCCAGCCACAAGATTAAACTATTTACAGAATATGTAACTATATACATTTATTAGTTTGAAAAGACAATACCGTTAGTAGTTAAGTACTATAGTATAATCTAATTAGATAAATAAAAATATATTCATCGAAGACTAAAAAAGGTAAAAGTTGTATTTTTCTTCGTATCACAAATGTAATACACATTACTATTTATGTCATGTTCTGCTATACATTAGTTTAACATGTCATATTATATTTTACACGGTTAAGTACTCTCATAGCATATTTTTCAATAAATTTATAATATTTGGATTTACAAAAAAAAAAAATCAATTATTTATCAAAAAAAAATTGAAGCGTTGATCATGAATTATGGTTTGGTTATTATTATAATGTTAAAAACATAAAGATTTTATATTTTAAGTAGTGCAGGATATTTTGTGATTTTACACTAACAAAAAAAATAGATAATTTTAATAATTAGTATATAACTAGGTAAAAATCTATATACATATAACTATATAACACTATACTAACTCGCTTCTAAACAAAAAGTTCAGATATAAAATATAGCTTTCTCACTCTTAGCTGAAAACTTTTTACTGCAATTGAGTATAGGTTTTATGCTACAGTGAGTACATAATTTATTGCATGCAACTTTTGTTGTTTTCTCAATTATTTTACAATGTATATTACACATCCTGTTCTATATAAATAAATATATATATATAAGGTAGGACAAAGGAATTTTGCATCCTGTTGTAGGTTTATTTTTATTCATTTAAATCATAAATGTTGATTTAAATATAAAAACATTAAATATATATGATAATAATATTATACCAATAAACACTGAATGAACTGAATTAATTTTTTTCCAAATAATGATAATTGCAATATTCTATAACAACAGACAAAGTATAATAATTAAAGCAATAATATTATTTATTAATAAATATCTCTCCATTATATAAAAAAATGTATTTGAAATATTATTCAATGTCATTTAATTGACATGCCAACCAAAAAAAAAAAAAAAAAATAGTAATAATAATAATTATTGATATACAAAAAGCATTTTAATTTAAACTTTAAAGTTCCTAGGAGGTTGTCAAAACTCAACTGGCCAACCGGCGAGCCCGTTAGTATAATATATTACTTTAATAAAAACAAAAAAACGACCATATTCAAACCAATAATTTATAATATTATTAATATAAATAAATTATAAATTAAATGTACCGTTAGACATCATACAACTAGGTATACACTTAATTATATTATAAAATATAATTACATTTTTTTTTTCAAAATAATGATTTTCTAGAATTTTTTTTTTGAAAATTAGTCAATGCATTCGACCCATCAAATATAGTTTCTAACAAAGAGTTTTCAATATTTAGAATAGCAAATAATTGAATTGTTCTTAGGTACAATTGAAGAATGCAAATAACTCTTGAAAATGATCCCTCGTCAGAAACTCAGAACCACTATAGCTGCGATATAGTAGCTGAATAAAATATTCAAAACTATATCTCTACGAAAATGTCTCTATATATATACATTATATTGCAAATATAACTGGATAAAAAATAATATAGAAAAAGCTAGACATTCAATAATTGAACACAAATATATACAGTCACGAGATCCCTCAACGAGGGGCCCTAGAATTTGAAAAATAAAAAAGAATATTTATTTAGCAAACACGTATTGAATAATATTCAGAGCAGTCGTTACGTCGTGGCTGCAAATATAATCTATAGAATAAAGGTAATATATTTATGTCGATCGTAAAGCTAATAATTAAAAAAGCGAAAAAAAAAATCAGATCTGTGTGTCTATTTCTAAGGATATCTCAAAACTTATTTATATAGCGATTGGTAATTTATTCATAATCTCTATGAAAAATACGGTTGATTGAACTAATTTTTGATTATACATCGCATGTATAATATAATAATTATTATCATATATGATTGTTGTCAACTATTAATGAGTCAGTATAACTTTATACAACGTGTACCTATACTGTACAAGGGTGTGATGGGTTCTTACTTCGTGGTGTTGCTTGGTAATGACGAAAAGTTTCGAGTCTTAACGATTAAAATTTCTTGAATTCCAGCGGATAGCTGGGAACTATAACATCATTAAAGTAATAATAAAATCGTTATTTTTCATAAAAATCCAATTTTGTAAATATTTTAACCCCAAATGTCTATGAAAAAATTATTTTTAATATCTATTTTAATTTATTTAAAAACAATTTATGAAGCTCGCGTCCTTGGGACTTTGTATTTTACTTTCAAATCTTAGCTACCTATATGTCGTGATTTTAACGAATTTGTCAACATTAGAACTTCAATCGCGTAGCTTACAGCAGTGGTTTCGCGCAGTGTATTTTATAAGACACAATTTAGGTAGGTACGGTGTAAAATAATACGACTATCATAAAGAACTATTAACTGATTTTTAATTTAAAAGACACCTATAAATGGTTTAAATACAAAAAAAAATATACTAAAATTTTATTATCTCGTATTAATAGTTAAGAAGCTATATGTATATAAATATAAATAATCTTTTTTGTTTCAATAACTAATTAAAATAAACACTGAAGGTATATCTTATAGATAAAAAAAGAGAAAAAAGGAACTTAATACTTACGTCAACAACTTTCAAGTATCGGAGTCTATAATATATTATCATCCAGACCGTCGCTAATGAATTTAGCCGAAGACATAATTTTTTTAAATTAGGTACAAAGGAATTGAGAATGTAAAGACCATAATATAGTATCTTTTCCCTTGATGATCAAAACATGATGTAACACAGACTTAATGCACCCGTACATATGCTAAACAAAATGGGGGTGAGTGTGTTTTTAGAAATCGGCATTGACCCGCACCGACGATGTCAAGGATTAGTTGCAGCAGCCATCGCGTGGAATCCCATTCAAACGAACCGTCAACGTCTGACAATATTGTCTACAAAATAGCCTTTGGGTTAAGTACAAACATTTTGAAACCCTAAGCAGGGCTTTTGGCCCAAGGTTATGTTGAAAGGATGATTAACTATATACTGTGATTCGTGCAGTGCTCGACCGGTAGGTATTTGCAAATGTTATGACATTAATATTATAATTATGACTACTGTTGAGGCAACCTACTACGATAGAACCAGTGAAACCTGACTGTGTCTCACTAGTTAAAATTTTTTGAGAAAAGTAGACAATCGTCATTAAAATATGTATTATAAATTTATCATGTAAATTGTAACTGCAGCTGTACATTGGTGTGCGCGTCCAGCTATAGTCAGTCAGACACATCGACCTGTGGGAGAAATCTATTTATTTATTTACGGAATAAATATTTCAATTTCGAAAATGGTTAAAATGTGTAAGGTTGTTTTTAGGGGAAAAATATGAGTATTCAGTAAAAACAGTAATAAAAATAAAAATAAAATAATTATAATTGAATTAATTTTTTTTTTTTAGGTTTCTGTTAATTTTATAATATTTATATATTATATATTATATTGTCAAATACTGTTTAGTGGGTTTAACTAATATAGCAACCGTATAGAAATAAAAGCACATTTTAAAATATATTTATAGTTTTGATTAAAAAAAAAAATTTTTAAAGATAACAAATTATTATTAAAGACAGAAAAATATCAAAAGAGTTTCCACAACTCAGGAGTATGTTTTCTGGTTAAAGTATCATTTAATTTGTTGTATCCAAACATTGGTGGTACTTGGCAGACTCGTGTCAAGTTTATTGACAACCCACGGCCGGTATTAGTTAGTGACTAACAGTTGTGGATATGAAACCTCCCAGACGACTGTCGTAATGTCAACATTGACTAGCGTTGGTCAAATACAACAGTCGTGTTAACCTTATTTCCTGTCTCATCGACGACTTCAACACCACCAGCCATGAAAACCCACGGATCACGTGGAAGCACGGTCATCGGTATTCAAGCACCTTCTTTGAAAAAATACGAAGGTTCCTCACATCGAGCCACTTTTAGGTGTCACATCTCATATCCTTCCACCGCATAGGTACTTCTGCGATTCTCCATCCTAATAATATCATATTGACTTTGTCACCGCATTCTGTCTAACAGGCTTGAGCGCCACGCAAAAAAAAAAAATGTGACTCCAACTTGCCTACCCGATGCGCCGTCCTTTATATTATGTATTAATTATATTATTATTTTGTGTTAAAAGTTTTATAATTTCGTTGTCCTATTACAATAAATTGTCATATTTTCATCTTAACATATTTCTTGTTTTCTTGTAATGGTTTTATAGTATGTATTGTTTAAATAATTACCTATTACATTAAAATATAGTGATGTAAATTATAATTAATAAGAAACTACATTTAAGTATTTTTTTGATGTTTATGTTCTGGTTTTTCTAAACGTAAATTTTATTTTACATTTAAGTACAGTACATACAAATTACTCCTAAGCATGGATCGTTCAATGAAGTATATTTTATCTAACGAAAAATAAGAATAAAACAGTGATTTCGATTTTTGTATTGATGTCAGGTATATCTCATCCCCACACATTTTAAAAAGATAATTTGTGAACTTAAATTTTACATTACCTTTTAGTGGCTTCTACCGTTCACCCGATTCGATTAAGACCTGTTAAATGAA